TTTTTTTTGTTCTCCTTTTTTTTTTAAAACTACAGCAACAGTGAACATGGAAAACAATTTTAGCCCCTCCAGCTTCACCAGGTCCTCGATCTATTCCACCCTTTCCTTAGACGTTAAGAGTTTTTATTTGTTTAAATGCCATCAAGGGAGGAGCCATGGTCAAGGTGTCTTCTTAGCCACATTTCTACGCCCCCTTCACCCACTTCCCAACGTGCTGGCAGCCACCTGTCAGAGGTTGAACTCTCCCCACCTAGATAATAAAAACCTAACTGTAGACAATCTTTCATCAAGTGTCCTCTGATCCATTTGAATAGTGCGGGATTGTGGGTAAGATGCTGAAGAGAGAGCTCAGAGACCTCCTCTTGATGCGACTGCTTGGAAGGTGGCAGTGACAGCGAAGGGGATGCTGGGTGGTTAAGTAATTAGGGCAAGGTCATGTTTCCAAACTTCCAAGACTTCCAATGCTTTACCAAGTTTTTATTTTCCTTCTTCCTTATGTTGATCTTTTAATTATTAAATTTATTATAATGGCAATCACCCCAGAAATGGTAATCTTCTGTCAGTGTGTCCAACACTTTAGCTTATATGTCTTTTGAAATTCAATCACCTGAAATTTGTAGACATTTCTGTTCTTCAGAAGCTCTCCTGTACTTTAGCATAGCCACCAGAACTTTGACTTCTTTGGGAAAGTAGTTCTACTAATACTCTGATAACTGATCACAAAATGATCATCACAGTTATTTTGATCAGTACTGAGATCGCAGTTAGTGGCTCTACATTGTGTAGTGCTTTATACTTCCGCCCAACAGCAGAAGCTCCCTGGTTTAAATCCCAGCAGGAGACACAAATTCCAGGGAGGTTTTATCAGGAAGGGCGTCTAATGTTAAATAAATAAATATCTGCCAAATCAAATGTGAAGCTACCAGCTGTGGCGACCCCTTTTTGAATACGAGAGCAGCTGAAAGGAGCTTTATTGACATTATGATTAAGCATGGAGCTTAGTGACAAAAATGCTTTGTAAGTATAGCACTGCTTTTTCATCCAGGTTGTGTTCCTGCTAATGTCCCTTCATATTGTTCGTGTTTACCATTTTCAGCAGCTGAGACAGATGTTTGTTTTTTTCACATTAGTTTAGTATTTCTTTGACCTTTGAGCTAACACCAGCATCAGGTCAGAGGTTTTTATTTTCCTTTGCTTTTTATTTATTTAAAAAATGCATTTAAGAGATCCAGTTTACCTCAGTGAGTGAACAGGTGATCATATGCCAGCAGCTCAGGTTCAAGCTGACCTGTGTCTCCTTCTCTCTCCTCTGTCTCCCCACTTTTCTGTCTGTTTTCACTGCTGTGCTATCAAATAAAGGTTAAAATGCCCCCCAAAAAACTTTAAAAGATGCATTTTGCAAGTTAAACCACCTGTACTTTTTCTTTTAAAAAAACATTAATTAGACTTAAGTGTCCATTGATAAAACTGGTATGTTCTTTACTGGACTATAAACAGATGAATGTCTCATTGGAAGCCCTTAGATCTGGAATGCACTATAATTGGTGTTTAAGGAAGTCTTATCTGAAATGTATATGAAAGGATGTTGTCCATGAGTCCTGTTGGGTTGGTGGGAAGGTTAAGACATGTCACTGTCTGAGCCAAGTAGAATAACATTAGGTTACAAAAGATATTTATTTTCCACCATCCGGCTGTCTGTAGACTTAATAGAGTTAACTTTGTGATGCATTACAACAGGACCTTAGTATAAACTAAAGTCAAAGTCTTGCAGATGATCACTCTGCTAAGGAATGTTAGCCAGCCTTCTGTTTTCTTCCTCCCTCCTTCCTTCCTTCAATCATATGGACAAATAATTGACAGGCTCAAGGGTGCGTTCAAGGGCATGAGCTTATATCTTAAGTGCTCCGTCTGACTTTCTCTTCTCCTCCTTTTTGTCTCGTTCCCTCTCTCTCTACCTCTCTCTGTCTGTCTCACTCTGTTGTTCAGATGCCAAAGAGATCGTGCTGAAAGCTCAGATTCTGGCCGGGGGCAGAGGCAAGGGTGTGTTCGACAGCGGCCTTAAAGGTGGAGTGCACTTAACGAAGGAGTAAGTATGCCCCTACGTGCATTTCACACTGTGAGTTACTGTAGGAAATAGATTGATGTTATTTTCTCCAACAACAGCGGCTTTTACAGCGAGGAGGCTCAAAGAGCTTTCTGAAGATGCTCCCTAGGCACAAAGACACAGTCAGGATTACTCGGGCTGCAAATAAACATTTTTCTTTCTTCCACTGTCTCGTTTTCGAACAACTACCCTCAATTAAATGTTGAAAAAGGGGCTTTAAGGTCGACTGAAGCATTACCCACCCCATTTTCAGTTTCCCCGCTCGGGTTTATTGGGTTTTGTGCCACTATTTTGTTCCTGCTCAGAGTTGCGAAGTGTGATGGATGTATTTCTTCAATGAGGGCTCACTCTGAAATCTTATGCATTTTTCAAAAGGCTAAACAAATCTTAAAAGAGCTTTACTTTGCTCAGGAACTGCATTTCCCTCCACCAAGTTTCCCCCGTATAAAATACATAAATAAAAAAAAAAAAAAATGCTGTCTTCTTAGTAAAGGTAGCTACAACTTGCTGCCACCGCAAAGGCAGAAAGGTGATTTATGACAATTGTCCCAAGCATGTATCATCATCACCCTACTTCGGGGTTCGGAAAGGCCGGAAACTTTTTCAAAGTGAGATACAGTGAAGTTCATCGTCCCCAGACAGTGACATGAGTGCACAGTTCACCTTCCTCTCATCTATCAAAGGATGAGTACAACCCCGAGCTTCATTTGTATTCACTTGCAAAAGCAGAGCAGGCTAACAGAAGCAGCCTCAGCATGCGTGCTGCTTTTAAATGGAGAGAAAATGCGGAGTTTGATTCACAGCAATGTGCACGTGTACCCAAAAGCTGTCCTTCATCAGAATATTTTGGACTAATACCGAGAAAGTGCTGAGACATATTTCTTTTCAACCGAACAAAGTTATTGAGAGGGGAAGAAATGCGCTTTCAGCTGTAGACCCCTCCTGCTTTTTCCACCTTTATTTTAGAAGTCTTTCTTTTTATTTTTTGGCTTCATGATACAGATTTATTTCAAAGAAGTGATATTGTTTGACCTACAACCTCTGTCCTTTAGCCCTGCTGTCGTTGGTGAGCTGGCCAATAAGATGCTGGGGTTCAACCTGACTACTAAGCAGACACCAAAAGAGGGAGTGAAAGTGAAAACGGTGAGCCATTACAGAGACAGAGGGAAGGAAAAGATCTCTACCCTCACTATATTTTCTTCCTTTTTTTGACCTCATTTCAATTCATTTTGAGTCCAGTAATTAATTTCTGTCATATTAATATCAGTTTTGTTGTTGTTGTTTTGTGCTCAGTTTTAATAGTAGCTAGCCCCTGATGTTTACTGTTGGGTTGCACTAGCTGGTGTTATGGCTCATTGCATAAATTGAACAGAGCCCGCTGTGAATTTAAAGTGTCTGGTAAACAACTGTTTCTGTGCGCCACTAACAAGCAGGAATACTATTTTCTCTGCTCGCATGCTGCATGTCGTACCCCCTGAAAACAGACGTTTTCCAGGTGACGAAGCCGTCTCAGTCTGTGGCTTGTTTGTGTGTCCTGCTGCCTTCCTCTTTGTCTCTCCTCATCTCTGTTTCTGTTTCCCCTGTAAAGTTTACGTTGAATCAAATGAGCATCACACATCATTTCTATTGACGACGGCTACAGAAAATTCAACAAGCTCAGAGTCAACTCGCTGTCTGAGGCAGAAGGCAAAGGCGGATAAAAGACACAAACATATGGCCAAAACCTGGATTAGATCTGAGTGAGAAGAGAAGTGAAAACCAATTGGACATCTACAATCATTGTCTTACCAAGAAAATCTCACACAGCACAGAAATCTGACGTGGCAAAGAGGCGCCTAACGGCTCGAGTACAATAACGGTGTAGTCAGAACCCGGCGTTTCCGATGACAGCCAGAGCTCAGCTGTCAACCTGCCAATGGGAGCACACACCAACGCTCAACCCGTCCTACAACACAGATAAGGGGCAGCACTCGTGTATCTGTGTGGATTTTCACTCTCATAGCTCTGAATGAGAGATGAGGAAACGAGGCGGGACAGATGAGCGAGGCAGAGAAAGATAGAAATAGACTGTGGAAAAAAGAATATGTTTAGTTTGAGAGAAGAAACTGGTGTGAGTCAAACGACAGGCAACTTAAAAGGTTGTTTGAGTGAGTGGGGAAAACAACTTTCGGACAAGAAGATGGGAGCGCTGTCTGTTAACACGGAGCGCAGAAAAGCCGATCCATCCTCATTCACTGGGCGATAAGGTGGAAGCAGAACATAAGGGCTGTGCATGTTCAAACAAACACCCCTCCCACCAAACCTGCACCCCATTAACCACCACAGAACTGATAGTTTCCTGTCAAGTCATTTTTTCCTTTCCTTTTCAAATGGGCTTCTTGCTTGCTTCCTCCTGCCTCTCTTTCTGAATGAACACACAATTCCTCTCTATTTGCCTTTGTTTCTTTTATTTATAACATAACAGATGACATTTCCTCAGAGCTGCTGCACGTAGATAGTGCCAATCTCTGCACTCTGCTTATGTTCTTGTGTTTTACAGCTAGTTGTAAATGTGTTACTTTTAAAAGATAAAGTTAAACGTAAAACATTTTTGGAGTTTTTGTAAATACTGGTTGGAATAAATGGGAACACAAATGACTTTTTTCCCTTTTTTTCCCCCTTAATAATAATGTTTTCTTAGTGATGTCAGATCAGTAACATAGCTACCTTCTTCTATCCAGCCCCTCTGTTTTTGCTTTGCAATGTGCAGGTGATGGTTGCTGAGGCCCTGGATATTACCAGGGAGACATATTTTGCCATCCTAATGGACCGCTCCTTCAATGGTCCTGTCATGGTAGGAAGCCCCCAGGGAGGTATGGATATCGAGGAGGTGGCCGCCAACACCCCAGAACTCATCTTTAAGGTATAAAATTTCTGCTTTTCAGTCATTTCTAAGTTGTCAGTGATTACCAGCTACAAGAATAAGAAAGAGGGGGGAAAAAAACTTGAGAGCTGCCCAAAATTTAACTTCCTTGAATTAGACATCTTACCATGATGCTTGTTCTTTACTGGCACAGTGGAGCTCTTTATAATCCCCTCACCATCTTACTTTAAAACTGATAAAGGTTTTTTTTGAGGGGGGGTGTTGAAATCATACCGAGTTTCCAGATGGAAGCTGAGATCTGTTCGCACACACACAGCAGAAGCTGAACATGGCGCACGCATACAGGAACACACTGGAGTTTAACATGTGCAAACACACACAGCCTTCGATGTTTTCTTTTGCCATTAATGAGATTTTATTTACAGCTTCTCGACAGCACGGCCTCATCGTCGTTAACAGATGTAACCTTGAAGCGTTTACAGATGGCTACCTCCAAAAGGTTATATACGTGTGTCTTATTTTGCTAATGTGCGTTGTGAAACATCAAGCTGAGACAATTACGTTACATTAACTTCACCAAAGACTTTCTATAAATGAGAAATGAGTGGGTTTTACTATCAAACAAAATGATTAAAATAGTTATTGTCCAGCCCTGTTTGGTGCTACAGACTGTCTGTACAGATGGATGAGATGTCACCAATAGGTGAAGCAGTAATGATGTTGTAACTAGGAGACGGGCAGTGAAGATTAGGCTGCTGAAGTCATGTTTCCTACCAGATGAAATGCAAACACTTGAGTTTTGCTGAATGATGATGGTGTCAAAGTGAGCACCATTCAAGTTGTTTTTTAAAAAAAATAAAAACCTAATTTCCACATTGATACAAATTATCGTTACTATGAGATTCATAATAAACTCAATCTGCTTCACTACAGTTTGATTTTGCACTTCCACATCTAACCAGCACAGACGTGCCTCCACAGGAGCGTGCACACAGGTTCATGCCCGGACTTTAGCGCTGCTTTGAAATGGATGAGTCTGCGGAGCAGTGACACTGATCCATCATCATCAAAAGAGAGAAAACAGGAGGATATATTAGACTGCCAGACTGACTTTTTGTCCTCCTTTATCCTGGAGCTTAATTTGACTGCAGTTTCTTTATATATGGTCTCCGTAACTTTTTGTTTCCCCGCGGGGGTTTCTGTCAGTGAAGAACGTGCATAGGGAATAGTTGGTGAAGAGTGCAGAAGAAACAGGTGAGATATTTTAAATGGAAAAAAACTGTAGGGGTGAGCTAAATAAGTAAAGAGCCAGCAAGTCTTATTTATATATGTTCGGCTTCTAATCAGCCACCGTTTCTCTCTGAACCATGTGCTTTTTTTTGGGCCACACACTGTGCTTTATGGAGGATGGATAACCTCCTCTGCCAACAATGATGCTATCAGTCATCAGCAGTGCTAAAGAGGGAGGATAGAACGATTTGAATATGGAGCCAATTGCCCAATCCTAATAAACACACATGCCCAGAACTTCCCACAGATCAGTCGATGCATTATAACATGCAGGTAATTTATGCATAAAAACCCGGTGGAATGTGGGTAAAGGATCTAAAAGGATAGATCTGGATCACTTTCTTTAATTTTGCAAACTGGCATTGGTCTTGGTGATGGATATGCTCCCTGAAATTTTATTATGTTACACTATGTTACTGTACTCCTGCTTTGTGCAAGCTAGAACTCTGCTCTCTGATTCTGGTTTTGTACAGTTTACGTATTTTGTGGTCTACAAAGGAAAATGAATGACATGGTTTAGGAAAGGAACAGTTCGTACATGTGCAGATGCTCCACTAGTACCTCAGGGACTGCTTCAGCTACTACAAATAAGCACTCCTTAATAAGATAATCATAAGCATTTATAAAAAGTTGAGCCAACAAACATTAGCGTGATGTTTGAGTGTGATGAGCACTTTTTGATATATTTTTTGGGAGCTATTGTGATCATCTTCATAGACAGCCTATTGCTGTTAGAGAGTTGGTCCATTCTGTGTATGATTATCAGAAATATATTGCATAGTTTAATTAGGATATAGCCTAATGCTTACTTCTTGTCTTCATTTGTTTGTCTTCCTCTCTCTTGCATATTCTCTACAAATCTACCAGGAAGCCATAGATATCTTTGAAGGTGTGAGAGACGACCAGGCACTTCGCATGGCAGCTAATTTGGGTTTCAAAGGAGCTCTGCAGAGACAGGTAATGGGCCCATGGAAGGCTTTAAAGTCACAACGAAGGATCAGTGATTCTGACATTCATATATATGTAGGCAGGCAGATGCTTGCCCATTCATAAATAGGCCATACTTTGGCTATTATTAGTTTTCCAGAGGCAAGTTGTGAAGTGTCATTATACTATGCTGACTTGCCAGGTGGTCTGTTGTCATACTTGGCAGTGAGGCACAGCACTGTGCCAGGCTTGGGGAGCTTACACTACTAACGATATCATTATTTGGTAGAACATGGCACACACTGATTTTGTGAGTGAATCATGCGTTAGCCACTAAAACTCATCTCAGTGGGCCAGTTATGATTTTGAGGACAGCGAAACAAACATTTTCTCTCCTCTCCCCAAAGTTTTGAGTCATGTTCAGGCATTTGCTCTGAAAATAAAGCTGAGGAAGAACAGCACAGCAGTAGGCCGAGCTCACAGTCTGAATAAAATGTGTGCTCGGTTAAGATTACTTTAGATCTTTCTTTTTTTTTTCCCTCTTAGTATTAAACCCCTATTTTTATGGCAAAATTTCAAGTATTTATTTCTGGGCAAATTTACACAAAGCCACACGTTTTTATTTTTATTCAGATTTTCTATGTGTTGTTTCACATTTGCCGTCATGAACACTGGAAAAAACAGTTAATTTCTGGTTTGTGTGATTGCTATTGTTAGCAAATCCATGCAGGCTGTTGCCCATATACAGTATAAAAAAAGGCTGAATTGTGTCTGTGGGTTAATGGCACCTTGCTGGGGAGGTGACAGGTGTGTTTACAGTGTCTGTGAGCTATGGAAGGCTTCACAGTGAGGGCCTAAAGCCACTCAGCAGACAGACTTTCAGCCTTGCATGCCATGTCAAGAATGTAAGCCGACGTCACAGCTTTGTGCTGGAAAAGGACAGAAAATCTGCAAGTCATGTTTCCATCACTGCAGATTGAAGGCAGAGCCGATAAATACCCAGAAACGCCGTCAAGCAGACTAGAGTCATTTGACCGATAATAAATGCAGCTGTACCCTTTCCCACTGTAGAGAAAAGTCAGATGTTTGTCCAGTATAAAAAGGGCTTAATTTGTTTTCTTTTGCACAAGCTCTGACTGGCATGAGAAATCAGATAACTCAAATCCTAGCACATAGAATAATCAAATACATAAATTACAAAAAAATCAAATCTGCCTTTGTGAAGCAAACTTGATTTGATGACATTTTCATTGCATCCTTTTTTATGGCCTGTTTTTGCTGGATACTGAAAGGAAATTGATTTTAAAGAGGGAATGGGAGAAATAGCAAATTATTGGTTAATTGTGTGCATTGTTAGTGCGCTTCTCCTTGGTTGCTGTTGGTCAGTTGCCAAGCTGTTTAATTCAGAGATAATTACAGCATTTCTAAAATACCTTTACTGTTTTGAAGGAGCTGTGTGGCGACGGGAGCTTTGTGCAGATACAATTTTTCGCGCGTCTGCACTGTCAGACTGCCTTTGTCACTAAAGAAGCGAAGCTATAGAGAATTAAAAAGAGGTTCCTTTTAAAAGGAGGTTTTTATTGGTAATGTTTAAGTGCAGTCGTTTTTAATATCCCGTATTCTCACTGACAACATTTGTTTTCCACATTGTAAATATCAGCTGTTTCAAATGCAAAAGGCACATTAGCAAAACAGGTATGCATCGATACTACATGTATGTGCAATCAAGTGAAAGGTGTGCTAACACCAGGTAATTTAACTTTGCCTTCCTTGCACATTAATGCCATAAAAAGACACGGTGATGGTGAAGGTGATTTGCCATGTTTTATGTAGCCTGTGTGAGAGGCTGAGCAGCCTTGTCAGGGCTGACTACTCAGAGCCGAACCATCAGGTAATTACTGTCCTCTGTGGACCTCACAGGCAGCAGATCAGATTAAGAGGCTCTATGATCTGTTCCTGAAAGTCGACGCCACTCAAGTTGAAGTCAATCCTCTCGGAGAGACTCCCGAAGGACAAGGTACTTTGTATCATTTTTTTAAAAAACATACTTGTCTGTATGTTTGTGTGTTTCATGTGTGTCTTTGGATGTGTGCCGTCCTGCTGTCTGTAATTTCTATTAAACATTTTAAACGCAGAACTCAGCATTTCAGCATCACGATGCTGCCACATATTAATCACCGACTGCGAGACAGAGGCAGCACATCGCTCCTCTGGTCTAAATGCATTTCAGAATGTGAAGTGTACTGTAATTGCAACACACTGACATCAGCTTCTTGTCAGCATGACTTTGTCTGGATCAAAATCCAAATGGCTTCAGGGAGCAGAGCTTTCCATATTCACAGCATGTTCATGTTTGTTGATGTTTCCTAGTTGCTGATGATTAACTGAAGGCATATAATCTATCATCAGCAAGTAATGAGGGACTACAAATAGCAGCAGCGGCAGCTTCAGATGCAGCCTTTTAATTTATGGTCGGCGAAGATTAACCACTTTGAGATGTTCTGTGAAAATCTTATGGGCTCTGAGTGGAGCATTAATGAAATAAAGTAAAGTATCATAATTAAAAATATATTGACATAGGTAACTTTGCATGACCGTTTGTAGTTTTTGAATTGATCAGCGTTTATTTCATATTTATTATTTCCATATTTATTTCATATTTTGCATGCGCACAAGATGTTCTGTGTAATCCCAGCAAATCTTTTTAGGAAAGCTAACAACAAATAACGCTGTTTATATTTATAAATATATCAACTATAAATGTTAAGATGTCCAAAATAATAGGAAGAAATAGTAGTTCCCAAGTTAAAAACTTTGCATCGGGGAATGCCCCTAAAGCACTTTAAAAACCACAAAAACAATCAACAATTATTGAATTTATCATACTGTTCACTGGTTCTATTCTCAAAGGAATTATTTTCTATAATTGTGTCGTTGTAAACTGGCCTTATTCCAAATGCATGTGCTCAGCCAAAAGTACTTAACTTGGAATATGTCTGTAAGTGTCTCTGAATGGATGAAAGGGAGATTATTAAAAGGTTGAGCAATTATCATCTTCACTCGACAATGTTTATTGGAGTGAAGCTTAGCCTATTACACGCTCAGTCTATTGAAATTAACTTTGGGTAATTATATTCAAGATAAATTTATTGTGTCGTCAAGCAATAAATATTGTCTCTTAACTCTTTGTACTTCATGTATAAATGATCAGATGAGACACATGAGCCAAATGAGAAACTGTAAAATAGTAATGCTAATTTTCTAAGAAACAAGCAATGATTAAGGTGTTGGCCTTGATCAACATGTCTGACTTTGTGCTGCTGCAGATTAAAAGTAGTTAGGGCTGCCACGATTAGTCGACTAGTCACGATTACGTCAACTATCAAAATCGT